CATTGATTCTGTAGTTACATTGTGTTCTGTAGTTACCATGTGTTCTGTAGTTACATTGTGTCCTGTAGTTACCATGGGTTCTGTAGTTACATTGTGTCCTGTAGTTACCATGGGTTCTGTAGTTACATTGTGTCCTGTAGTTACATTGTGTGCTGTAGTTACCATTGATTCTGTAGTTACATTGTGTCCTGTAGTTACCATGGGTTCTGTAGTTACATTGTGTTCTGTAGTTACATTGTGTCCTGTAGTTACCATGGATTCTGTAGTTACATTGTGTCCTGTAGTCACCATGGGTTCTGTAGTTACATTGTGTCCTGTAGTTACCATGGGTTCTGTAGTTACATTGTGTCCTGTAGTTACCATGGGTTCTGTAGTTACATTGTGTCCTGTAGTTACATTGTGTGCTGTAGTTACCATTGATTCTGTAGTTACATTGTGTCCTGTAGTTACCATGGGTTCTGTAGTTACATTGTGTCCTGTAGTTACCATGGGTTCTGTAGTTACATTGTGTCCTGTAGTTACCATGGGTTCTGTAGTTACATTGTGTCCTGTAGTCACCATGGATTCTGTAGTTACATTGTGTCCTGTAGTTACCATGGGTTCTGTAGTTACATTGTATCCTGTAGTTGCCATTGATTCAGTAGTTACATTTTGTCCTGTAGTTACCATTGATTCTGCAGTTACCATGGGTTCTGTAGTTGTCATGGGTTCTGTAGTTACTTTGAGTTCCGTAGTTATAGTGGGCTCTGTAGTTACATTGGGTATTGTAGGTTCATTGGGTTCTGCACTTACATTGGGTTCTGTAGCTTCATTGGGTTCTGTAGTTACTCTGGGTTCTGTTGTTACACTGGATTTTGTAGTTACATAAGGTTGTGTATTTACATTGGGTTTTGTAGTTACAAATGTGTCTGTATTTTCAGTTGGCTCTGTTGTCATTTGGTAGCCTTCTCCGACATCTTTAAAGTACAAAATGTATCACAGATTATACTTCTTATAGCAAATAACTTCGGAAAATCAATTTCGACCTAATAATATTTCGATATATTTTTTTCTAATTCACTGAAAGAATAGTGTCTGATCACGACAGATTTATTCTCCTGAAACGTGTTTGTTTTTGTTGTTTAATAACTGCTGTGGAATATAATGCTTTGGTCATATGACGTATATGAAATGGCGTATCCACATTATCTTTATTAACAACAACTGAAAATAGCGTTTATGAACACTCACCCAGAGTCCATGGAAGAAAAACGGCGACTGTACAGAGAATAGCAAGAAATGTTATTCCCGGTGCCATGGTAATTGTTTCTAAAAGTTGTCGAGATAAAATAGAATAAACAGCTAATCAATTGCTATATTTTATATATTCCAATCATACTTTATAAATATAGAACTATCTGATTCACGAAAACATTTATATCGTGAACTTTTCCCATATAACGTGACTGAAAGTGAGTGCTCACGGTGACACACGATTGGAATGACGCAATGTAGCATCCCGCCCCCTAGTCCGTGTTTTATGAACTTGAACCAATCGTGTGACTGCGTTGTAATCATAAATAAAGAGTTTATAAATTGCCAGCAGATTTATATGTAAGGATCCGTGGAGAAGAGCAAAGACTAAGTGCAAATAAGACTACTGAATTTGACTTGAGGGTTACGTGCCTACAGCGTGAAACGCCATGATTTCTACCGACTGTCAGTGGGAGTTCTCGGCGCCGAACATTGATATCACCGCTCACTTATTGGTGATGTTTTAAGTGACTGTGGGTGTTACGCACTTTGGTACCATGAGATAAAGACTGGTACCATGAGATAAAGTTCTACTGTGCGTGATTGTGCGACTATTAAAGATTGAACATTTTCAGCTTAATCACCGCGGTGTGTTAATTAAAAGTGTCGGCATTCAACACGACAGTAGTGCATACAAAGATTGTGTGTCTATCATTTAGCGACGAAGATAGTCGAATTGACATAAGATACAACAGTGAACGGAGCCATGTCGTGCATGTGAAAATCGATAAACTGTGTTAGTTAGTGATCTGCATGTTTTATGCAGCACCTCTTTTCAATATGAACAGTTGCTGTTAGAAGGACTCCTTCATATAGAAACTCGGCAATCACAGTTATTACAGCGGTTGATTAAAGTTACGGTGTCAGATTGATTGGTTTAGAAAGTTATGCGATTCCCGTTATTGTTGGGCGGGATCGTGACCCGGAAGTATATACACCGCTTTGTAAAAAAAAAAAAAACACAAAAAAAAAAGTTAATGTACGGGTTATATGTCTGAAGTAGAGTCAAATAAGCTGACCACAGGGATTAATCCTACCAGATTTAAGAGAGATTTGCATCAGATGCCCGAGATGCAGCTCTGGGCAGCAAGCAAGAGACAAAAAGCATAAGTGTCGAAAAGCATGGAATAGTGCCATAGGAAATTTACACATGTTCGCCTCTTGCTTTATTGACTTTCTATTAACAATGTGTAGAGAATGAATAATATTTAAAATTATTTATCACTCCTGATCTTCAAATAATAGTTAAACAACACTTGCATAGCTATCTATAAAAACGTTTTTCTTTGTTGTTTTTTTTACCTGAAGAGCGATCTCAAAATCCGTCAGTAGCTTCCATTCAAATTGCACATATCTAATTTCGCTATCCTAAGTCTGTATGAATAGATATACAGACCCACACATGCACCTTGTATTTGTTAGCTTTGAGTGTTAACTCATTATTTCAATACATACACTGTATTTGGTGAGCTTAGAATTATTATCGATTCGTAATAATAACATAAATGCGTTAAGTCAAGTGAAGTATTAAGTTACGTGACGTCATCATTTTGAAATATATGCCATAATAACTTGCACAAATACAAAAACAATGAGAAATTATGAAATATATTGTTTGCTTTATCTTACATCTGCTTATTTCGAAGTCATGGACATTATGACGCCATTATCCAATTCAAATCTCAGTATAATGATTCGTAAATAACCAAATACCACATTACCAAGTTCACATCGACTCATCAAGCCAAGATTTGTACTTATTGCCAGTCGTGATTATGTTTTACCTAACACCTGTGCTATTAGTAGGTTTAATACGATTTAATTGTTTCAATGGATGTACATATATGTTTGAAGTATAAAGTAGATTTTTTTAAATCTTATTTTACACGTCTTAAAAATGCGATTTGTGAAAGTTTTTAATTATATAAGTCACGAAATCCTTAAATATATGTTTTCCAATATATTAATACTGTCTTGATATGACTACTGAGTCATATGTACGATGCTTGTTGTGTCTTAGCAAGTATGGAACTCTGGCATATTGCCCCATTTACGTGTGTGTGTGCACATCCCTCACTATTGAACAACGCTTTCTTCCCTGTTAAAATAAATCTCAATACTTTATCTGTTTTTCAACCACTATTGCTCGACACCTTGTAAGCTTGTGTTTCAGCAAGTGGGAAACTCTGGCATACTGCCCTATTTACATATCCCCCAAAGTTAACCGTCCACTGTTACAGTATATTTCAATACTTTATCTGTTTTTCATCTACTCTATACCGGTTACAATGTACATGCAGCCTTGTTCAGACTAGCGCCAACGCCCTCACTGATTGACTCGATCAAATTGATTGGTTCAGAGAATTTGATAATGGTTCATCACTCTAGATAAATCCTTGCGTTAAACCTTTTCTTTAGAAGTCATGTTTTGACATAAAACAAATTAAAAGTAGTTATATCTCTGGCAAAAAGCGCAATGTTAAAATAACCTTTATTATGAATAAAATTACGTTTAGTTTAGTTTACTAGGAAAATTCAATGTCCATTCCAAATTCCATCAAGTATTAATCACTTGATAATCGTTCACAGAGCCCAGACAGAATAACAAAGTTGATTGACGTAAAATAACCTTCGATCTCATCTCACGGAAAAGTCGTCATGTGATGATAATCAACTGAGTGCGCCACGTGTTAAAATCTACATCGTAGCTCCCTATTTATTGGACCTATACACCAATATATCTTCAATTCGAGTTCTCAAGGTCATTTATACAAACGTTTTCGCCTTTTCCTTTTTTTTCTTACAAGCGTTCTCCTGATCTCCATCTCAAAGTGCACACATCGATTCCGCTATCTCAGGTCGGTACAAAAAGATACGACGACAAACTATTGAACTTACAGGTTGGGGTATTAACCGATTATTTCAAAACGAACACTTTAATTTATGAGTAAATGATAACCGCTTAGGATAAGTATCCATTATTAAGCGACACAGTTCGTACCGCAAAGCCACCTAACATCGCAACCAATGCTAGTTAGAAACTCCATTTACATGTGTGAGGGTATATCTCCCAAAATTAACCGTCCACTATTACAATATGCTTGATCTGTTTTTCATCCACTATTCGATACCGGTTAAAATGTACATGTATCCTTGCCTAGTCTAACGCAAATGTCTTAACTGATTGCTTGATTAAAAAAACCATCATGTAAAACCAAGTAGACGATCAACAATAGAAACTTTCGTTTAGTTTAATCAGAAAATGAAATGACCATTCCAAATCCCATCAAGTATTGATTACTGGATAACAGATCCCAGACATAACACAGTTGATTGATGTAAAATAACCTTAGATGTCATCGTCAGTCGTTTTTTTGTTGTTGAAATTCTGATATGATCTCAAGCGAAAAATAGTCATGTGACAATAATCAACTGAGTGCACGACTTGTGAAATCTGCATCGTGGCTCCCTATTGATCGATTATACACCAATATCCAATGCAATACACAATAACAACTTTTTCCAAAGAGGAACTGACGAAAAACACAATATAATTAATATCTTATACAAATCACATGTCCACCTCGTTTTATTGACGAGTGCCAATTTTTCATTGTCGATGCATAGCGAATAAATACTGAAATCAATTACCGATTTTTAATTGACAGTTAGCAGCCCCTCTTTGCGTAGCTATTTATTAAAATATTATTTTTTACCTGAAAAGCGTTCTGCAACTCCGTCAGTAGCTTCTATCTCTTTCGCTATCCAAGGTCCGTATGAACCGTATGAATCTCAGCACAGCAATACACCTTGTATCTGTTATCTGTTTAGGTATTAACTCACTATTTACATATTCACACTGTCAATGGTGGGTAACAATTAATGGCGTGGGATAAGTATCTTTTCTTAGCCGTTCCAATAATACATTCTGATTTTAAACTATGAATATGCCAAAATTGCCACACTATGTTTCTAAAAGCGAAAAACAAGATTGGGACACGGGATAAAATTTGCATGGCCTGAAGTCGTGTACCGAAGTAACAGTCCAATTAAAGTTCAGAAGTTGCCATAATGGCTTAAATTGACTAAGTGCCGAATTAATATCTGCCCTGGACAAAAATGAGACAATTCCTACTCGATGACGGGACAAGATACAAGCAACATCTGACTTTCACGTGTAGCTCTAAGCACACTGTCAACAAGCGTAGTTATGCTAATTAAATTACAGACACTTATTTGCATTTTGTCTTTACTTATCTTTAATAAGTCATTCATAAAACATTTATATAAACTCTGCATTATTATTATATACAATAGTGTATACCTAACCGTTTGTACCTGTGTATAACATTGTTTAATCATTTCTACTTTCATTGACCATTTTAAAAAATACATTCTCCTATTATGCACATGTTTGACATGTTATAAGCATTCATTGGGACTTAATTAAATTCATTCATATGAGATGGGGACATCTTTCATTTGTTTGTACAAAGATGTGTTATCATGGTGACATCATGCACACACGTTTAATACACATTACTTTGCAGTATTATTGAGGATCAATATATATATATATATTTTACAGGAATTTCTGAATACATTATTTATTATTTATGTTTAATGGCGGTAATAAATAGATAACGAGAAGACAAAGTGGAATAAACCGTTGATCAAAAAGCGTCGATTTCGAAATAATCATAGGTCACATGAAAGAGAAATAATAAATCTGAGTAGTATATTGTTCGGCGTAAGGCAATTGGCGCTGTAAGAAATTATACGTATTCCAAGATATAGTTTTTTTTGCACGAGTTGATTATTAATAGTGATTATTATTGTTGATGAATGTCAAATACTATGCATTATTGTACTCAATGGACCTTGTAATATGCAATTTTCTTTTAATTCAAATCTTGTTGTGGTTTACAGCACATTTACATCTCATTTTCGAGTTTGGTGTCGACAAATAAAGATGATTTTTCAAATGAACGCTGAATTCCACAG